AGCACTTCTCTCTGGGCTTTCTGTTCTCTTCCCCATTGACTACCGGTACGGCTGGGATCTTGGATTGCCTGAACATCAAAGAATCATCCATGAAGTTGAACAAGATCTTGGCGGCGATCCTGACGTGCTGTTCTACAGCCCTGCCTGTCGTCCCTGGTCGATATCTTCAACAAAGCGTGACTTGGACCAGACTCAACGAGAACGAGCTGCCGAGATACCTACTGTGGACTACATCAAGAAGAAGTTCAAGAAGAGAACAAAGGAGAAAAGAAGCAACATTCTCGAGCAGCCCTGGTCCAGCGCTCTTTGGAGTCAACTCGAAGATCTACCAGGAGAACCACTCAGGATAGACCAATGCCGCTATCGAGCTCAAGATGAAGAGGGCAATCCACAGGTAGAAAAAGAACTCCAGCTTCTTGTAGAGCAGCAAGTTGTTGTACCCTGAGTCTCGAAATCTAGTGATTTTAGTTTTTTTGATGTTTTACTTTAATCGGATTTTTTACTAGTAAAATTTACTTTTGCCTGGTAAAGTAAATCAATTTACTAGCCAAGTAATTTTTTTGAAAAAAAAATAGAAACGCATAAGAAACGCATAAGAAACGCATATAAAGTGCATACATTTTTTTCGGATCATGTTGACCATGTTTGAAAAACATATATTTTTTCATTTGTTTGTGTATTGTTTTCATGTGACACAAGTAGAAATTGGCTTGCTTTGAATGTGTTTTATCTTGCGCAAGTAAATGGTTTTCACAAGTAATGCAGCATTCTTTTTGTTCCAAGCTCAAATTCTGCCCTGTCCCCAATAGTCACTTTTGTTTCCACAGCCAGAGATGATTACTAAGATAAGATAGAAATGAAGGCAAGTCATCACATGTACACTGCATTTGATAACTTCTAGTCATTGTTTGGCTTCCACCTCACAAGTAACTTTCGCATGTAAGCGTCATTGTTTGCTTTTAACCTCACAATCTATTTCCACATGTAAGTGTCATTGTTTAGTTTGAATCCCACAAGTAATTTTCAACTGTAAGTGTAATTGTGGGGGTTCAATATCACTCGTAAATTTCACATGTAGGTGTTTTTCTTGGGTTTTAACACCACAAGTAATTTTATGTAATTTTCACATGTAGGTGTTATGGTTTAGTTTTCACTTCACGAGTAATTTCCACATGTGAATGTAACTGTTTAGTTTTGACCTCACCAGTAATTTCTACATATATTTGTTACAACCATATTTTTCAAGTCAGTCAGAATTTTTTTTGGAACATAACACAGCAACAACGATTTTGAAAGAAAATCGTCGAATACGGCTAAGTTCCTAATTAGCTATGTTTCAAATGTTTGTATTTAGATGAAAATTCACATGTTGCTGACTTATATCTGCTTAGCTCAGCGCTGAACAACACCTTCCACTTGTGAAAATATCATATAGTACAAACCACAACAAAGTGAAAAACTTACGTTGTTCAAACAATTATGCATTAGGGAATGTCTCAGAAAGGGGGTGCCATAACCAAGTGCCCCAAACCCTTCTTATTTAACTTTAAAAAAATGAGCTTGGGGCACTCCTATTTTGAGACTTTCCCATTTATATCTTTGAAATTCTTTGAACGTGTTACTTGTGGAGTACTTGTGGTGTAATTGTTTCTCAGGTTGACGCTCATTGTTTTTCTGTGGTGTTTTGCTTGCAACATGGTTGTTGCATTGGTTGTACTACATGTGCCTCTGGCCTGTTCAATCTATCCATGGAAAAAATAAACTGATAGAAAAACATGTTTCTCCGGTTTGGTTCTTACTTGTGACTACTTGTGATACTATCTCAACAATATCTTTGTGTGTTAGAGTTTTTTTAAATAAGACTAAGGTTGTCCTATTTTTTTGAAGTAAACTCTCCAGAAACCAACTAAGGCTGCCACTTGTTTTGCCGTCTCTCCAGGTTAGTGACAAGCCTCAGGATGACGATGGTGCTGGGTTTTTGGAGCTGGGAAAATTTATATACAGCAAAACAACCCCCCCAAAAAAATAAGAAGAACACAATATCAGATCTATTTTGGCCATGACCAACTGTAGCAAATAAGGAACCATCATTGAAAAAAACAGTTTCTTCTTCATTATTGTTTTCTGACTGCCAATCATTTCATGTTGAGAACAAAATTCAATTATGTTTTAATTTGGTTTGTTTAGTTAAGATTATTTAGTTACTCATATAATTCCTATGTATTACTTGTGTCGTTGGTTTTGTGTTTTTTGTAGAAAAATATTGTTGATATATTTTTTAATGCAATTCTTTTGCACTCCTTATGCGTTTGTTTTGCACTTCTTTTGCACTTTACTTGTGAACGGGTTGAGTCTTACTTTTGGACTCCTTCAAATACCTGTGGTACATGAGATTAAGCAAGCCTGATATACATGTGAAATATTATTCAAATATGTTATATACTTAGGATACCTGAGCTGAGCCAAGGTTTATATCTTCATGCATTTTTTGATATATCTACAGTATGATACATGAGAAGAATTGAGTCTTACACATATGTGTAATGATTTGATTGTGCATGTCCCTTTCAGTAAAACCTTCTGGTTTTCAAAATTTTCTGATAAAATTTGATGAGCCATTCAAAAAAATATAGATTTTTTATATGCATTTCGTATGCATTTCTTATGCATTTCATTTCTTATGCACTTCTTATGCACTTTTTGTGCACTTTTAAGAAGTGCATAAGAAATGCATAAGAAATGCATGTACTTTAAATCAAAGTACATGTACTTCTTATGCACTTTTAAAAAGTGCATAAAAATTGCATAAGAAGTGCATAAGAAGTGCATAAGAAATGCATAAGAAATGCAAAAGAAATGCATAAGAAATGCATCAAAAATCATTAGAAAATTAGAAAACATCTCAAAAATATTTTTTCTACAAAAAATACAAAACCAATGACACAAGTAAGACATAGGAATTATATGAGTAACTAAATAATCTTAACTAAACAAACCAAATTAAAACATAATTGAATTTTGTTCTCAACATGAAATGATTGGCAGTCAGAAAACAATAATTGAAAAAGAAACTGTTTTTTTTCAATGATGATTTCTTATTTGCTACAGTTGGTCATGGCCAAAATAGATCTGATATTGTGTTCTTCTTATTTTTTTTGGGGGGTTGTTTTGCTGTATATAAATTTTCCCAGCTCCAAAAACCCAGCACCATCGTCATCCTGAGGCTTGTCACTAACCTGGAGAGACGGCAAAACAAGTGGCAGCCTTAGTTGGTTTCTGGAGAGTTTACTTCAAAAAAATAAGACAACCTTAGTCTTATTAAAAAAAACTAACACACAAAGATATTGTTGAGATAGTATCACAAGTAGAGTAAGAACAAAACCGGAGAAACGATGTTTCTATCATTTTTTCCATGGATAGATTGAACAGGCCAGAGGTAAAACCTCATCTGTTTGGCAGCTAATCTATATCCAACAGTGGCTACATCATCATTAAATTTTCAAGTGGGGCACATGTAGTACAACAAATGCAACAACCATGTTGCAAGCAAAACACCACTAGAAAAACAATGTTCGCCAAACTGAGAAACAATTACACCACAAGTAACACTTTTAAAGGTATAGATGTATAATTGTTTGAACAACTTCAGTTTTTCATTTTCTTGTGGTTTGTACTATATGATATTTTCACAATGGGAAGTTGTTGTTCAGCGCTGAGCTAAGCAGATATAAGTCAGCAACATGTGAATTTTCATCTAAATATAATATATGAAACATAGCTACTTAGGAACTTAGCCATATTCAACGATTTTCTTTCAAAATCGTTGTTGCTGTGTTGGTTCTCCCAAACAAAAAACGTCCGATTGACTTGAAACATATTAAGGTACACTTTATATGGATATGTCTCAAAATGAGGTGTCCGTTTTTGGTTCCAAAATGGCTACTTTAAGGGAAAAAACGGACACCTCATTTTGAGACATCCCCATATGTAGAAATTACTTGTGAGGTCAAAACTAAACAGTTACATTCACATGTGGAAATTACTTGTGAGGTTAAAACTAAACCATAACACCTACATGTGAAAATCACTTGTGATGTTAAAACCCAAGAATAACACCTACATGTGAATTTTACTTGTGATATTGAAACCCCACAATAACACTTACAGTTGAAAATTACTTGTGAGGTTCAAACTAAACAATGACACTTACATGTGGAAATAAATTGTGAGGTTAAAAGCAAACAATGACGCTTACATGCGAAAGTTACTTGTGAAGTGGAAGCCAAACAATGACTAGAAGTTATCAAATGCATTGTACATGTGATGACTTGCCTTCACCTCTATCTTATCTTCGTAATCATCTCGGGCTGTGGAAACAAACGTGACTTAATTCGATTTCGTCTCACAAGTATCCTACAGTCTCGAATAGTTTTGGAATCTAAATAATGCCTCTTAGAATTTAATACTTACCTTTGCATTAGCTTCGAATCTTACAATTCGTTTTGAAATGACAACCGAAGGTCCCACAATCTTTTTAGATTTCAAGCTAAAACTCAAAGTTTTAAAAATATATTCTTCATTCCCACAAGTATACTATAAGTCTCGCAAGTACATGAAAAACATCACTGGTATCCTCAAATGTCACAATTAGTGTATGAAAATTCACCATTCTCGTAAAGTCTCATAAATAATTCTTTAGCTCCTTTCTATCGATTTTTCACCAATTTTGTTTCAAAACACAAGCGCACCAAAAATTTACTTGGCTAGTAAAATTCATTTACTTGGCTAGTAAATTTATTTACTTGGCTACTAAATTTTACTATGGCTAGTAAATTGCAAAATTTACTTTACTAGGTCCTAGTAAATTTTACTACTAAATTTGAAAATTTAAGTAAATTAACGGGCTACTAAAATCACTAGATTTCGAGACTCAGGGTAGTGAGGGCTTTCTCGTTGGTGAAGGCAGCTCGGCAAGGCGCAATGCCACCAGAGACGCAGTCTCAAGTCCAGAGATGGCAGCTAAGGTCTCGGAGTGCGAAGTTGAGTAGCTGATGCGCTTGGCCCAAGCTCCATGTGCAAACGAAATGTGAGCTTCTCCACCAAATTGATGCTCGCTCACTTCCAGCCCAGTGATGGAGTGGATCCGCTTGTCGAAGTTGAGGTTGTCTCTCATGAGAAGGATCATAATACCTACCTTCCTGCGAGTAGGCTCGTCCCTTCGATGCTGAGGATGCATTGTGAACTGTCACCAATCGCCAGGGCACTGACGTTGGAAAGTGCTTGAAAGTGATCCCCAGGCCACGGTACTGCACCATCTTGGCCTTTTTGACAATGGCCTTCGCCATGTGCATGTCTTGGACAGTTGCTTTGGTCACTCTGGATTGCAGCACACCAATTTCTGCAACCAAGTCCCGTCTGGTTGCGGTGATCCACAGCAAACCGCCCAGCACACTTCGGAACATAGACACCTCTTTTGAGTTCAGCAGCCGGTTCATGTCGTTGCCAAAGTCCTTCAGGTCGAGGATTTTCATGGAGTCGATGAACTCTTGTTGGTCAATCTGGAAGGTCGAACCGGTCTGTGAGTAGCTGTTCTAAAGGGGGCTTTTCCTCGCTGATCTTGCCAAATCGGCTGGTGAGGAACTTGTACTGCTCGTTGAGGAAGTTGTCAGTCGCCACAACGGCAATGTCATCCACGTGAGTGGTGAGAACTCCTTGAAGTCGGCCAGTTGTAGGGCACTTCTTGTGCCACATGTTCTCGTCCAGCAAGGATTGGCAGCATCCACCTTCTTCAAGAGTCTCGAAGAGCGACAATTGCCAAGCAAGAGGGGCATCAACCAAGCCATAGGAAGGCTTCTCACATAGTAGGGCCCATCGGCTCTCATCTCAGCCACAGCGAAGTGCGGGTCAAAGGAGGCAAGGTGACGCCACACATTTGGAGGGGGCACAATTGCCACTTGTCGATCTTGATGCGCTTGAAGGTCAGGCCTTTCAGGAAGGCTCCACTCACATCCCAGCTGCGCACTGAAAAGGAGTGCGTAGAGGCCACAGAAAGAACCAGCCTCTGTGAGAGGCGTGTTGCCGTAGTAGATCTCGTCGGCAATTCCTCCTTCTGAGGATCAAGAAAGCCACGGGCACAAAGTCGGCTTTTAGCCTTCAAGGTCTTGTTGGCGGTGCGCTTGAACTTTCGCACCCATGTCGCATCCACCAAGGCTGTTCCTTGAGGCAGGTCGTCCAAGAGGACCTTTCTGAAGACCTTCTCATCCACAAACTGCTTGAGTTCGGCCTTGTCGCTGGCCTCGAAGTCAGGCCAATGTTGGAGGACCTTCGTCTCGTCCAAGCCGTCTGCAGTGTCTTCATCAACTCGGTAGATTCCACCATCTGACAGGTAGATTCGAAGATCTGCCTCAGTGCGACAATGCAAATGGAGTAGAGGCCGTTGTGGTACTTGAGAGCGTTCAGCAGCAAGAGCAAGTAGTTTCTTTTCCTCATCCATCGTTGATGGTCTTCAAACCAGATGTCGTCAGGAGGAAGTCTGATCTTCCGTGGTCTTTGAAGCATCAACCAAAGAGAACTGAGATGGAGTTTCTGTCGTTTTCGTTCAGGTGCCAAGGTCACAGTTCTGGTGTCAGGACCTGGACGCTTCAAAGTGGGTTCATCAGGTTGATGTTCTGGAGAACATGTAGTTGACATTGAATCTTCGTCAGGTTGGTTTTGTTCAGGTTTGATCACAGGTGGTCTCGGTTTTCGAGCTGTCATCCAGGTGTCATCATTCTGGTACTGCACATAGCCGTAGAGATAGAGATGGCAGAGCTTTTCGATGTTCTTGACAAAGAGCTCCTTGATGTGGATGTTGGAGTCGGTGTTGTGCTCGGTCACGGAGATGCCCAAGAAACCTTCTGGCCATGTGATCAAGGTTCCTTTGGAAAACTTGGGAACCAAGATGGTTTTCATGCCTTTTCCAAATTGGGCTCCATGAAAGATCACCTGGTTGTAGTGGAAGTCCAGAAAGGTCTTGGCATCCTTGAGCATCTGGTTGACTGTATCACTTTCTTCTTTTGGAAATCTCACCATCTTGTTTTCTCCATCTTCATGCTTCAAGATCTCGCCCATCGTGTTAGGCTTGTAGGGCGTGCAGTCCTCGACAACCAGCTTCATTCGTCGAAGAGCTTGTTCTGCTTCAGTTGAGGTAGTGCTGGAGGTCTCATTCAGGAACTGCATGTAGCTTTCTGGAAGAGGTCGTAAGTGTCGTAGTCCAACAGAAAGGGCCGTCCTTGAAATTCGACGATCGCTGCTCCAGCAGCTTCGTCAATCTTGAGGACTGTAGCAGGCCCTCTCCAACCATATCCTGCACCATCATCTCTGAAAATCTCCACCTTGGTGGTCCCAGGGACAAAGTCTTCCACAGGTAGTCGTTGGGGTCTGGACCTGTTGGCCCGAGAAATCCTGGATTCCAGGATAGCGGCTTGGCTGGCTTGTAGAGCAACTTGTCGAAGTCGTAGAGACATTTCGAAGGCTGACTCATCTGGAGTGATGTCATCTCCTTGAAGAAGTTCTTCAGTTCTTCAGGTTCCAAGTAGCCACGAGGGAGAACACCAAACAGCAATGTCACTGGTGAATAGCCTCCCACATTGAACGTGGTGTTGGCAGCCATGCAAGCTTCACAAGCCAGCTCCTCGCCTTCAATCTCAAGACCCCATCTCGAAGCTTCTGCTTGGATCTTGGCCATGGTGAGCTTCGTCAAGTCGATGTGCTTCTCGACAAGTCCTGTGGCAGTGTGTTGTTGTCCCTGAGTTTTGGATGTAGTTCCACCAGGTCGGCGTGCAATGCCAGTCGTTGTAGTTCAACTCCAGCATGAACAGTCATCAAGGCTGTCTCCTAGTCGGACACCAAAGTTCTTGGTGGGCCAAAGTAGCGAATCCAGCATCGCATGAGCGCTCCAAGGATGTGCTTCAGCTCACGGCCCTCGCACAAAGTTGCCACCTTGTAGCGCGTGGCCTCGTCGATGACCAGGAGGTAGGTCTTGCCGTCATAGCTGTAGAGATCAGCTTGGATGACTTCGTTGAAGGACATGCTGAGGTTGGTGCCTTTGTATTGAGGTCGACGTCCAGCTCGTGAGAACTTGCGGCAAATCCTGCATGAAGACGCAGCATCGCCTGTCAGACGCCAAACTGCGTGAGGCATGCCACAGCGAATCAAAATCGCTTTGACGTCTTGAGTTCCTGCATGCCAAAGTCTTTCATGTAGGCCCAAGATCAATCTCTTGGCTGTGACATCGTCAGTGCCAGCAAGTCGAGGTAGGCGTGCAAAGACTCGTCTAAAATCAAAGATCGGTCGCCGGTCGCAAGGACCCGGGATGTTGAGCTGGACCATCGGCAGCTTCTTCTTCAAGTTCAGGTTGTGGTAGTGGCACAAGTTCACCATCATGTTCGTCATCCGCATCACTGTCCTTGATGGCCTTGATGTCAGAGGAAGATGATGCAGCTGCTTCTTCCACGTCTGCACCAAAGATGGCCACGAGCCAATCTTCTTCAAGTTCAAAAGGTTCATGCCATTTTGGCTCAGAGACAAAGTGCGAAGATCTTCAACTTGTCCAATCTTCCAGCTGGAAATGGAGCCACGAAGTAGCAAACGTAGTGGAGCTTGTTCGACTGCAAGATGAGGAGCTAGTCGTAGGAGTGCTCCAAGGTTGAAGGCAGGCCATCATGCACTTTCATGTAGTCCTTGAAGATTCGTTGGACCCATCCAAGTGCAGTTGGATCTTCAAGCCAGTGCAGCAGTTCTGGTCGTCCTCCTTCTTCTTCTCCATCTTGTCGAACTCCAGATAGGAGCTTGATGAGGCACATCTTGAGCACTGCACTCTGCTCACCGAAGGAAATGCTTGGATGAACTGATAGTTTCCCTTGCATGACCTTGGGGTTCTTCAGTGACTCCTTGCGGAAGTTCTCAAAGATGTTGTCTTGCTCCTGCTGCTCTCTCTCCAGTCGTTTGCGTTCTTTCGGTCCTTCTCCTTCTGGCCATTTGCCATGACGGCATTTTCCGGGAAGGAACGAATGTTCCATGTCTGCAGTTGCAGCTCGTCCCATTGAACAGCGCTGGCTGGCACTTGTAGTAGTCTTCCACCATGTTCTTGTCGGAGAGGTACTTCTTCACGTCTCGAATGATGGCTTTGCAAAGAGGTTCAGGATATACGGCCACCATCGTCGTGCGGTTCATTCCAGCAATTGCTCCTTGAAGCCATCCATGTTTTCGGCCGTGATGGCCATTGCATCTGGAGATGCAGTGTCGAAGGTGGAAGTCCGACTGAAATCCAGTGGGCTTGAGAATGGGATTCCATGACGGATTGCAGAGACCTGTATGCCCGGACAACAGGTCGCACTGCGCTTCCTCAAGACAAATCTCAGCGAGTCTACATTTTGGCTCACCGTGAAGCCCGACTTTCTGGACGTCTTCGCTGGATCATCCTGGTCCCGACTCAGTCTATGGTGGCAGATGCCTTGACGAAGCCGATGCTCAGCAAACAGCTCCTGCATCTACTTTCGACTGGCCAGGTGATTTTCTTGAATGAGGAAGGACATCCCTTGGAAGCCCGTCGACTACCTCCAGTGGCAGACTTCACTGAAGATGACCTGGTGGATGGCGATGAGAAATGGATCAACTACCTGATTACGCCCAACGACATCAAGAGGATTCAGAAACTATGCTTCATCCTGGACAAGACCAACAACGAGCTCTACGCCCTGGACTACCAGAACAAGCTTTGCGCTGCTAGCGATCCTATGTGCTGTTCAATGTGGACACGGCAAAGCCGATGGTGGACAATGCCCTGCCGACGAGGGCGCTGAATTTGACGTACAGAAGGCCCTCATCTATCTGATGACAGCCGCTTGCATGCTGATGAGTGTGGCGATCTAGTACTACCTATGGAAGTGTGTGAAAGGAATGAAGAAGCTGCTGGACGATGAGACCCAGCAGGCTGTTCGACCTCTCACCAGAGCAGATTTGGTGAACCGAATGCTCACTGCTGAGAACAACGTCTTGGAGCTCCAATTGCAGCTGAACGAGAATGTGAAGGACATCAACATCCTCTACAGATCCTTGCGTCGTAACGCTGGACCTCATCCTGAGGAGCCCGCTTCTAGCAGGCCAAGGACGATTGACCGACGTCCTGCCGAACCTGAACCTGATGGAGAACGTGGATCACCTAGAAGTGAACCTGAAAGAGAGCGTGCCTTCAATGAGACCGCTTCAAGATCCCGTGACAGTGAAGATGATCGAGAACAAATCGATCTACAAGAAGATGCATCTTTGGACGAAGTGAGATCCGATATGGAAGAACCTGAGCGCTACAACCGAAGGATGCGCAATCGATTGCACATCATGAACATAGAGTCCAACAACATGGAGGTGTATTTGTACACCATGGTCCAACAGCACGGCCTTGACTATGTGGTGCCATTGCCGGACATCCTGCAGCTCTACGAGGAGCATGCGCCTAGCATGGATGCCCCGGGCGAATACCGTGCCATGAGCAGATGCTGCATCAGCAATTTGCCGATGGCTCCTGGCGCTTCATCCTGATCGAGGACAGCGAGGAGTTCGGCGAGAACGAGCACCCTTTTGTGTCTCATATGGGACTGTACGGATTTCGCAATAGGCGAATCATTGCTCGTGAAAACGAGGGATTGACTCAGCGAGAGGTGGAGGATGGGGTAGAAAATCTGTACAGCCACTATCGACTCCACACCGGCTGAGACTGTACAAAACCCAAACCAGGGACAACACACAGAGCAGACTGAAATTTTCTGCACTTGTCCATGGTCCATTACAACATGCATGTACCGTAGGTGCACCTTTTCGCCCAAAACAGATAAAACGGTTACCTTTGGAATATAAGATTGTATATATGTATAAGTATAAGGTACATGTATATATTATTCAAATCTATATGTATATGCTTGCATATGCATAATTGTTTTCATAAAAACAATATGCGCATACACACACAGATAAATTGGTTGATACTCAGCTTGTCAGCTTGAACATGGTTCCATATTGGTTCCTCGTACTGCCCAAAGTGTTTGTTGGATTTGTTGGAGGCATTGGGTGATATCATCAGCGCATTGACCCATCAATCACAGGAGACCTGCAGGCGTCATGTCCCTGTGTCGGTTGTGCACTAACATGTTGTTCCTGATTGATTTGCACGAATTCGATGCATTCGACATCCATTGAGGGAAAATCGAGAATGCAATTTTTCCTTCATGAAATTAGAGCCTTCGCGTTCCCCTCAAACCTTTCCTTTCTCAGCACAACAACGGGCCAACAAAAATTGACACTTGCCACATTATACCCTTGATGGGCTGACCCTTGCTCGGCGACTCCATTCCGTTCGCCGCATGTAGATCATCTCTTAGCATTGCAGCATGAAGGGAATGCCCTCCTGTCGTGTGAGGACAACATGAGCTCAGTGCAAGTGTAAACCGTTTGTTTGTTGCTGTGTGGAGGTTGTGCAATCATCCTATCCTAGTGCCAGGAGGATTTTAACCAAAAAATCATGGAGTACCTACTGCTCGTACTTGCAAATGCAGTCACATCTGCAGCTATGGGCGTTGCAATCGGGAGTCTTAGCTTCTCACAGAGTGGGAGGAAGGATGAATGGTGGTGGTTCTGAACAAACCGATTTAGATCTCTGTGTTTGCACCATTTTGTCCGGTTTTGCTCTTTGTTTATTTGTTTGCTTGCTTGGATTTCTATCAATAGCCAGGATACGCACTTTTCTCACGTGCTGGCTTCAGGTGAAAATGCATGTTTTGAATCTACCCCATGCCCGTTTGCATCCATTTCTATCCATTTCTGATGACTCTCTAAGGACTTTGAGCACCCGACTTTACGCCAATATGTCTATACGACTCTATGAATCACTTATGAGATCCTCAGCAGAGCTTAAGATGTGGAGGACACGTGTAAAGCAATGCAAATCCAAAACAATCTCTTTCCAACGTATTGAAATGTAGGACGAGCTAGACAGGCTAAAATTGTTCTAGACAAGAGGTCACACCATGTCTGATACAACCAATTTGTGCATGATAGCATTCTCCTCATCACCAAAATTTGGACACACAGTGTCAGCAATCTAGACACATTTGCATCCCCCCATTTTGACCTGACTTTTCTTCACATCATTCTACTCGTAGAACCCGAGGTCAAGACATTGCTTTTTATGACAACGTCGCTTGGACAATGTGTTTGTTGTTCCTGTAAGAATTACAGTTCCATGATTCACTGGACACCACACAAACCTGGAACGTAAAAAACACTCGTAGGAGCCGTTCCCTTCTGAAAAGTGCCGTGGTAGTCTGCATTAAATCAGGGGCCTAAATCAGGGTAAAAGGGGGATGCCCGGGATGACCTGCGGCACGCTGGGGCTTTTACCAATCAACACACATGCAACTACATGAAACTATCTAACTTGGAACCTGATGCCTGAATATGTTCTTTTTTGCGGTTCCAAGTTGGTTTGCGGGGAGTATCCACTAGCCGCGGTGTCCCATTTCTTTCAAAACTGCGAAACTTTGCTTGTTCCTGTCCATTGCTGCTCCCAGAGCCTGGCACTAGCACACGTACGCCTTTGCAGTAGTTTACCGTGAAGCAGTGCACCTTCTCCAGGCCATGACGGGGCAGATGACATCAAGATTGACCAATGACATGAGACAGGCTCTCTCTCCAGCGCCCTGGTCGCAGATTTCTGGAGAAGCTCTGTGAAGCTGGGAGCCAAACTCTTAAATCTCTTGCCCATGTTCTTTTGGTTTGGGTATCCACATGTATCCACTCTGTGTCTTCCAAGGTTGGGTGACTTTTGTGAACTTTCCGAAATGTCTCTGATGTGAGGTAGCTATTATCATGAACACCTTTGTGGCAAATATCGTGCCTGGGCAGGTGGTTGACCGTTTGTGCCGGTCGGTTTCTGAGGATCCACTAGAAGAACAAGTCTGCAGGCAAGCGTAGAGCAACCCAGCAGTGCAATGCCCAAAAGTGTTTGCGTAGTTGGCCTAGTTGACATCTATCAACATGAAGTGCCTAATCATTTTCGAAATGCTCAAACGCACATCACATCCACGATCTAAGCTCAAAGCCTGTTGCAGGACATGCAGCTGCATCTATGTTTGAGATTCGTATCTAAGACATGCCAAGTTTGGCCCGGTGACTGCACTAGAATCTATAGTTTCGACATGTTTCGACATGTTTGCAAGAATATATATAGGATATGATAGGATAGGAATGGAATGGAATGGATAGGAAACATGGAACAAGGATGCGAAGGCAAAGAACAACATTTGTGAGCGATTCTTGGACAGCTGAGGTGATGCTGGTGGCCGGCTTTTCCATTTGTTTCTTGCCCCGCAAAAAAGCGATGCAATTTACACGTGCACATTAGCGATTTATACCAGCTCAAGGCTGAGATGGGTCAGCAAAGTGTCAGATATTTCATCACTGGTATGAAAACAACTCCCCTGCTCAGCATTTTGACAAGCATCAGAGTTATTGAAACAACACGGAACTATGCAGATACAGGGTCAGCTTGGTGCCCATAGTAGATTTGTATCTGCCAGTATTCAAGGCTTGCATGCCTCCTGGCGTTTGACAATCCTGGCCTTCACAGTTCTGACACCGGTGGCACCTCGACATAGGTGTGGAACAGAAGGGGCAGTCCTATGGCAGAGTTGCGAGCATCCACGTTTCCGATGCGTCACCACTACTTTATTCACATCATTGATCAAAGGAAGCAGACAATGCATTTGAAAAGTCAAACAAGATGCAACGCAACCGAGGTTCACATTTCTGCGCATTTCAGTGCGTGGGCAGCAAAGTTGATGGCTTCCCAGCAACATGCTTGCAGACATAGTGGGGCAAAGAAGACGCTCTCTCAGGGCGAGTGCTTGAAGTTTTGTGTGGCTCGAAGCCATCATTGCAATGCCGTGCATAGATGCCCACAAAAAGAGGATCAACATGGATCAACATGGCTTGTCATGAAGGGAAACCATGTGACCATGTCATTGATGGAATGCTATGATGTCAATATTGGAACAATCATGAAAAATCCATAAACATCCAATGAATGGATGCTGAAGGCGGTACTGGGGTGCTTGATTATTTGAGCAACTCTTTGAACGTTCCAAGCTTTTCAATCGCTGATGGGTGTGATTCCTCTGAGTCCAATGCAAACACAAGCTGAACAACTATAAGAGCCAGGAAGGAGAACATAGAAGAACCAGAAAATAGCAACGGATTCTCTTCCTAAGGATAATTTACCAACTCGAGGCTCATGGAAGCCTGGCAAGGTACACCTTCCTTGCAGATGCCCAGGGCTGCGCAACTCAAGCCCTAACCAACATTCGCACAGTCCGCATGTGGCAAAGCTGCACTAATTTCGCCGGGCCTGGCAGTTGCAAGTGTTTTATTATGTTTCATGATGTGTCACGTTTCTGTGTGGTCACTCCAGTATGTTCACTCAACATTGACACGGTGCAATGCCTAAAGTTTAGCCTAAAGCTATGCTCTGGACTTTAGATATTCTTCTTCGGTTCCAGTGTTCCAGTGACATTTTTCTTCGGCGCTTCTTGACTCGCTCCTCTCACGTCATTTTCCGCACATTTCTTCACTCTTTTGGTGCTATCTGAGATCCGAGGTTCGGTGCCAGGCGGATGGAGGAGGAGAAGTTTGACACTTGCTACAAAAAAATCCAAGAATTACAGCGGACATCAGTGGACTACAGATTGCACCAACGGGGAGTGACTTCTACCCCAACCGCAACCTGAAATGCTGCATGCGTGTCCCCTAAATGTCGTCCAGGTCCTCTTTTTTTTGAGAAGCAGACTTTTGGAACTAAGCATCAAGCCATGACTCTTGAGATGGGAATGTTGCCAGATGCATTTCCGAACATTTGGGCTCAGAGCAATTATGTATAAGTGTCACCTTTTTTGTGTGGGATTCGGCTTAATGAAGTGGACAAGGTGAATGGCAAGCCTGAGCAACCGAAAGATTGAAGAGCACAATGCCGGGACCCAAAGTGAAAGCTCTAGCGAGCGATCCAATGTCGAGTCCTCAGACGAGTTCGAGAACTACCCAGGCAGGTTCCAAAAGCCGATACAAAATTAGCATGGCATTTGATGACATTTAATGACATGTGTATGTCAAATTTGCTTGTTTGCCATGCAAAGCTGTGGAATCCATGAAGCGACCAGCTGGGATACAAGCTTGAAAAGCCAGTTGCATTTCATCTAGGCTTGTCATTTGTTTACATCAATAGATGTGGAGTTTTTTAAGTAGGGCCACTGCCCTGGTGCGGCCGACCCCCCTTTTGGGGGGCATGTGACTGGAGCGAATGGGAGAGGCAGTTTGGCTGGTAGCACACAGAAGAGAGAATGGCAACAGAATAATAAAATATATGTGATTATTGAAAGGCTTACGCCTGACAGCCGGGCACCGGCCAAGCAATCTTGGCACCATGTTGGCCCTATATTGGGCCTATGTTGGCCTATGTTGGGCCTACGTTGGCCTATGTTGGGCCTAAGTTGGCCCATGTTGAGCCATCTTGGGAGCTATGTTGGGGCCATGTTTGGGCCATCTATGTTGAAGCGATCTTAAGATGCATTTTTTTCCGCCCTGGGCCCCCTCCTGGAGCCCAAAACCACGTAAAAAACGAGGTTTTGTAACATCGCCAAGATGAAATCCGTTCCCGCCGAAGGGCCCGGGATGTTTTTGAACACCGCAAGCACAAAACACCGGGAGTGGGACGGGGGTGGTTCAGGAGTTGGGTCGGCGGCAGGGGCGGCAGCGCATACCAAGTCTCCTGCCACCACAAACAGAACTCCTTTTCCTGCTTCTGCCATCTTCTTGAAGCTGCCAGCAATTGCTTCCCATATAGGCTTCATCGAAGAAGCGACTTAGTTTCTACCAAACTACGACCCCACGTCCGTCGCAAAATCTAACTAATAGATAGATTTTTTCTAACTAATAGGTAGAAAAAAATCTACCGAAATTCTAACTAATAGTCAGGATTCTGACTAATTCAATCTATTGGGCTGCCACACAAAACGACTTTCGACACGTTACAAACTTATCAACCAGGTTGGAATGTCACAAAGTGCCGCGCCTGCCATGCAAAACGACATGCCAACCTGCTTGGAAAGCTTCCCCCATAGACACGGCGAGGCCACAGGAAAACCAGAGACTCGAGACGATACACGTGGGAGCATCAAAACGAGCATTTCGTGCGAGACTTTCTCTAATTTTGACACATTGTTTTCGTACGGGTTTTCCTTAGAACCTGAAAATTTGCTACCTCAAAATCGATGTTTCCTGCGAGGCTTTCGTCAATCACAAAATGCCACGCCTGCCACGAAATTCACCTTGTCGCCACTTGACGCAGCCCTGACAATGCGATTCGCAAAAGCACACAACACGACACGTCTGAAGTGCTGCGTCTGCCACGAAACTGCAACTCATTTTGTGAAAACGACACAAAAGTACTGCCCCCGCCACACAAAACGATTTTCGACACGTTACACAACACGTCTGAATGTCACGAAGTGCCACACCTGCCACGCGAAACGAAGCAACGCGACGTTTGAAACCTCCAAAAATGACCCCTTCTGCAGAACTTACCATAGGCACGGTCATACGGGGATCGCGCGAACGGTTGCGAACGGTTGCGGACGGTTGTGGACGGTTAGGCAACGTCGAGCGAACACACCCTCAACCCCCAGACCCCTAGAGTGAAACGGGAACCCTTGCTACGCATTCGGGAAAAACATTTCTGGCAAGATGAAACTTTCATCCACTGAAGCTGGTGTTGATTTTCATGTCGAGAATCACAGCAAAAGAAAAGAAAAAGCAAACCAATTCGGGCTGCCTGGGGAAAAAACACAAGCCCCACTTGGGGAAAAAAGTAGCTCGCAGAAAGAAAAAGCAAAGTTAACTTTTAGGTTTCCACAGCTAACTGGGTAGGTTTTTTACTTAAGTGCTTAACTTTTTTTACCATAGTTAACAACTTGAACTTAACAATTAACTTCTTTTAGCTAACTGTCTTAAAGCAGTTATAGCATCTTAGCATGTCTTTCGCATTGCCCTAGCAGTTTTAACATGTCCTTACAATGGCTTGAGCTAAACCTTTTAAACATGATAACCTACTAGCAAGGACACAGATCATCTAAGTGCCATTGAGGGACGGATCGTGCCTTCGAAGGGCCCCTGGTCGTGGCTCATTTGCTCGCTTTGAAACGCATATAGAACCAAACCCTACACGAGCCGTCAGCCAACCTTCAAAGGCCACAGCTATACAAGCCTCCAAAACGCACGTTTCGCCAGACTGAAACAGCATGGCAGTGAGGGACGGATCGTGCCTTCGAAGGGCAGCTGGTCGTGGCTGATTTTGCTCGCTTTGAAACGCATGTAGAACCAAACCCTATACGAGGCGTCGGCCAAGCTTCACAGACCAGCTGCTATAGCCTCCAAAACGTACGTTCCGCCACAGGAAGCAGCAGCATGCCATGAGGGACGGATCGTGCCTTCGAAGGGCAGCTGGTCGTGGCTCATTTGCTCGCTTTGAAACGCATGTAGAACCAAACCCTATACGATGCGTCGGCCAAGCTTCAAAGACCAGCTGCTATATAGCCTCCAAAACGTACGTTCCGCCACAGGAAGCAGCAGCATGCCATGAGGGACGGATCGTGCCTTCGGCTGGTGCCAGCTACAAATCCGAGGTGCTGTCACTTCGTGAACTGCCTGCCAATGAAGGCGAACAGGCCGCGAACCAAACCCTATACGAGTCGTCGGCCAAGCTTCACAGGCCAGCTGCAAGCCTCCAAAACGTACGTTCCGCCACACTGACGGATCGTGCTGTCAGGTGGTGCCAGCTACAAATACGACGCGCCGTCAGCTCGTGAACTGCCTGCCAATGAAGGAGAACAGGCCGCTGATGATGCTTCGCTGTCTCGAGGCGGCTCCCCTGCAATGGCAACAGCAGGGGTCGGCGGATAAGTCAAATTGTTGATGTTATTCAAATCATTTCGAACCCTCCGCTGACCTTCCGTGTCATGTGCTTTCAGAAAGTTCAGTTCATGGTGAACAGCCTGTCTCAGGCAAGTCAGCCATCAGCTCATCCACCAGCGAATCCCCAAATGAGCAGGGGTGCTACAGTCCTTGCCGACTTACGCAGGACGTTTGCCTTGCAATTTCTGTTTGTTTTTCAGATCGCCCTACGGGTGCCTGAAAGGGAGTGAATGCTCTTTCTGCCATCACTCCCCAAATGAGCAGGGTGGCCCTCAAGTAGCTAGACCCCGGAAGCTCAGACGTGATCGGTGCAAGAGCAAAGTGCAGCAGCTGCTGGAGACGTTGACAGCCGAGCAGGGACCAGATGAAGTCATCAACGCTATCCAAGCGGAGGCACAGAGAAACAAATACTCCCGGACTCTGTGCCAAAACTTGCTAGACGACTGGCTTTCACAGAATGGTGATGCTCGCACCTGTTTAGCAGGAAGCACTGCTGCACGAACAGCAAGGGAACCTGAACAACAAGATCATAGCTGCCGTGCAACGTTGCGATTTTCGGTGTAGGCTCCTGCATGAAAGACCCACTTGCCCTAAGTCTCCGGATATGGTAATTTTAGTTCTCTATTTTTTTACTGTAAATTTTACAATTTAGTAGTAAAAATATATTTCAAAATTACTGTAAATCAATTTACTATTTACTATTTACTATATCAAGTAACTTTTTGCTTATATAAGTAAATGGTTTTACTTTAGCATGGCGCTCTACCACGTTTTCTTTAGAGCTATTTTGCCCAAGTTTGGGTAATTATTGTCCCTAGGTTTGGTAATTATTATATCCAAGTTTGGGGAATTATTGTCCCTAAGTTTGGCCTAAGTTTGGTAATTATTGTCCGCAAGTTTTGGTAATTATTGTCCCTAAGTTTGGGTAATTATTAATAATTATTGTCCCTAAGTTTGGCCCAAGTTTGGTAATTTTTGTCCCTAACTTTTGCCTCTTTGGGGAATTTTTGTCCCCAACTTTTGGTGAATTTTTGTCCCCAACTTTTGCCTCTTTGGGGAATTTTTGTCCCCAACTTTTGCCAAAAGTTGGGGAAAAAAATTCACCAAAAGTTGGGGACAAAAATTCCCCAAAGAGGCAAAAGTTGGGGACAAAAATTCAAAAAACATTCCCCAAAGAGGCAAAAGTTAGGGACACAAAATCCCAAAAGTTAGGGACAAAAATTCCCCAAAGAGGCAAAAGTTAGGGACAAAAAAACCCAAAAGTTAGGACAGAGGCAAAAGTTAGGGACACAAAATCCCAAAAGTTCGGGACAAAAATTGCAAAACAGTGCCTAAAGAGATAGCCCAAAAAACATGGTAGAGAGACATGCTAAGCTTTACTTGTACAAAAGTAATTTTCGGAATACTAGTTTTTGGCATTGTTTTTTATATCCATGTTATGTGTTAACTTGTGTATGTTTCTCATTTTTTTTGATTTGTTCTAGTGCGCTGTGCACTTGTTGGCTGTTATTTACTTGTGACAAAGCTGAAATTTTACTTGTGCTCTGTTGCAATTTACCGGATATCAATTTATTTGGATTTTTTCCCTTGGATTCTGCAGATGGTGTGGACATTTTGGCCAGGGCATTTTGCTCAATGGGGCGCGTTTAGACTTTTAGTAGGTCAGCATGGCTGCGTTGGCGGCTGCTTTGTCTGAAAGACAAACTGCTGCTGTGGAAGAAATTGCTTTACTTCGTGTGATCCCCACCATGACATTTATACATTTTGTTACTGGCAAATCTTCTGGCATTCTATCTGACATATCTTCTGGCATTCTATCTGGCATCTCTTCTGGCACTCTAACTGGCATATCTTCTGGCATATGTTCTGGCATATCTTCTGGCATTCTATCTGGCATATCTTCTGACATCCTATCTGTCATTCTATCTGGCATATCTTCTGGCATTCTATCTGGCAAACATTCTGGCACTTTATCTGGCATACCTTCTGTCATTCTATCTGGCATATTTTCTGGCATTTTATCTGGCATATCTTCTGATATTTTATCTGGCATATCTTCTGGCATTCTATTTGGCATTCTATCTGGCATATCTTCTGGCATTCTATCTGGCATATCTTCTGGCATTTTATCTGGCATATCTTCTGGCATATGTTCTGGCATTCTATCTGACATTCTCTCTGGCATACCTTCTGGCATTTTATCTGGCATATCTTCTGGCATATGTTCTGGCATTCTATCTGACATTCTATCTGGCATATCTTCTGGCATATTATCTGGCAAATCTTCTGGCATTCTATCTGGCAAACATTCGGGGTCTGGCACTTTATCTGGCATATCTTCTGGCCTTCTATCTGACATCTTATCTGGCATTGTATCTGGCATACCTTCTGGCGTTCTATCTGGCATATCTTCTAACATTCTATCTGGCATATCGTCTGGCACTCTATCTGGCATATCTCATGGCATTTTATCTGGCATATCTTCTGGCATTCTATCTGACATTCTATCTGGCATCTCTTCTGGCTTTCTATCTGGCCGTTGAGGTCCAGCGGTGCGCACTGACGTGGGAAGGTCCCAGGTTGAGGTCCAGCGGTGCACACTGAGCTGGGAAGGTCCCAGGTTGAGGTCCAGCAGTGCACACTGAGCTGGGAAGTTGGCGAAGAGCTTGGCGAAGAGTTGGCAAGGCGGAAGTTGAGGTGGAATTTGATGCAGACATGGTCGAGGCGAAACAGGCGGAGGAGAAGGAGGAGGCGGAGGAGAAGGAGAAGGAGGAAGAGGAGAGCTAGTCGAGGAGGAAGAGAACAGCTCTGATAAAATCTAACAACCCTCACCTGGCAGGTGGGGAAAAAGAAGATACCAATCTTCTCGTCCCAGGTTAGCAGCAGACCCGACGATCTCAGTTCAAGACATTCACGCCTTCTTGTTCAGCTACCTGAGGTACAAAAAGACGACTGACCTTTTTGCTTTACTTTGTCCTCCACCTTCCGGCCCTCTGCAAGTGACATGGCAAGCGACAGTGCATGGCTCCTGGTTGGTGAAAACCGCTGGGCTGCTTTTTTGACGTTCTAGATGTTTGCCCCAACACAAAATTACTTGGAAGCAAAGTGCAGAAAGCTGTTGTTACACTTTTGCAGGAGAAGGCGGTAGTGTTCGATCACAAGATGAAGGAACAAGATGGTGTGGACAGAATAGATCTCTACTTGAGAAACCTGTTGTACCAGATGAGGGTTTTGAGGCTTTCTTCTGAGATCCGTGGCAGGGTGTTTTGAATGTTGTCCACGGCCGGACAGACTCAGTTGGAGATGTGTTTGGATAAGGTCAAACTGCCACCTGCCATTTTGGCACAAGGACTTGGTGGAGGACTTGTTGGATTCAGAAGAAAACTCAGAGCCTGTGCTTGCTGTGGTACCTTTCGAAGCTAAGCCAGTGGAGGAAGTTGAACCTAGTCCAAAGGAACCCCAGGAATCTTTGGCAAAAGCCCATGACCGTGTTGTCCCAGTGGCACCAGCGGTTGCAGCACCAGCTATCTTTCAGAAGATTTTGGATCGCCATGGCAATACGCTTGTCTCAGCAAAGCAATGCCTTGCACCTACTGGCGCTTCTTCGACTTTGAGTTCAGATGAAGAACTTTTGGCGATGGCTATGGCACATGTTCCGAAGCAATGTTTGGTGTAGCCCAAGGAGAAGAAAAAAACTGAGCAAGACAAGCAAGGACCAAAGCAGGCTAAAACAAAGAAGAAAGCAGCCAAGCAAAAACCTAAGAAGGTTTCCAAGACGGTGGGCAAGAAACCGAGCAAGCAGGAAACACACAAGGTTGCAGTGAAGAAAGCCAAAGCGATGTTCAAGGACGATATCCCGGAAGACGTGTCGACGTACTGTTTTCTGAGCGAATTGTATGGCTCTTTCAAGTTGGAGATGTATAGTGAGAAATCGTACATCCGCGGAAAAGATCCTGCCAGTTCCAAATGGAAATCAGTCATTGGTTCTACTGCAAAGGAGCACAACAAAGTGTGCCGCTTACTCGTTCCTTTTGTTTCACAGGGGTTGAGTGTACCAGAGTTGTACACACATCGGGAGTCTCTCTCGTCTGACTTAAGAGATGTAGATTAGAAACTGCATTGGGGGAGATGCGCAAAAAGATTAGCAAGTCCGATGGGGTATAGACCGGGTGTGTTCCCACTATTTACTTGAGTGCTAAACAACTATGCAGGTTTCAGTTCGCCTTAGCTTTGATGTCAGGCACGTACTTGTTTTTGGCAGAGTCAAATATTTGAGTGCTGAACAACTATGCAGGTTTCAGTTCGCCTTAGCTTTGATTACCGGCACGTACCTGCTTTTGGCAGAATCAAATTTACTTGAGTCAGCCTTGCTTTTGTTTGCAACAGTGGGGCACTAGTCGGCAGTGCAGTGGTCCATGGGGCTCGAGACAAAGACGGGGTCCTAGGACCCAGACACGGGGGGTCAGCAATGACTGAGCCCCCCATCCGGATGTACTTGCGAAACATCCGGTATGGCACTCCAAAGAATGTTTTTGCGTAGCATTCAAGGTATTTCTGCCAATGTGTTTTTTTTTAACGGTTTAACGTCTCTGTTAACAGTTGCTTGCTAAGTAGTATCTGTGTAAACCTTTTGAACAGGGAGTTCACAGAGAACAAAAGCTGACACAGGTCTGGTCGTACCCTGTTTGTTATCTGAGGACATCAGAGCTAGTCTACGACGGGTGGGCGTCACCAACATCGTGTCCTTCCAAGTAGTGAAGGAGAACTACTTGTGGGACACGCCAAGGTCCAGAGATCACATGTCAGTCTTCGTCAAGTTCAACACAGACACTTGGCGTTTTGTCGTTGAAGTACTTTGCATGGCAGTCGTTCAAATTTACTTGAAAACTGCACTTCAAATTTACTTGAATACCACACTTGAAATTGACTGGAAAACTACTTCAGGTATTCAAAACAAGGCATTTTTGGAGTGTCTCATCGTGCAGCTGAAGACGATGATCTGCAGCATGCCCTCAGCTGCGTCCTAGCTGATCCATATGGCCTTTGATGAAAAATGGAAAAGTTGCTTGTCAAAAGAAAGGGGCACATCGGAAGAACGGCAATCAGCAACCATTTCTCCCCACCCTTAGTCGTTGAAGCTTCTGTAGCTGATTCTGAGGCTCTATTAGCATCGATCGCGAAGCCTCCCAAACAACGAGATACCAGACGACCTGCAGAACCTGTGGAGCCACCGCGGAAGACGTCCAACTCTGCACAGGGCAGTTTGACAATTGGTCTAACTTCCAAGGCACCTGCCCCGCCTCGCCTTTCACCCAGGTGTGTGGAAGATTGGCCAAGACATTTGTTCCTTGGCATGCTCCGCAACCTTGCCTCCTCCCAAAGCTCCTCAACTTCTGCCCGAAGTCGTTCCCAACCAAGTATCTTGTCTGACTGTTTTTGAAGCTCATTGAAGTATACAATAGGTTTAAATTTATCCCAAGTCTTCTAAAAGGAGATCATTTATATATGATTTTGCCACCTTCCATCTGCACTGCTCAGGTAGAGT